AATGTAGCTAAAAAGATCAAGCCTTTTATTATCTGTTTGGAATCTTTGTTTATGTTCAGTGAAATCTAATTAATGAATTTAATTTTTATTTTTTTTCTGCAAGCGTCCTACATTTGTCTGCACATCCAGGTGCACCCAGTCCGGATTCTGGACCATGTCAGAATCTTGCACATGTCACTAGTTTATCGAACTTTATCCACTTTCCTTTGTTTTTTTGGCCTTTTGTGAAAAGAATGTTGAGGTCCTGCTTGAGGTATCATTATCGAGCTGACCGCGGCCAGGTAATTAATCAAAGTTATGTTATTGGGCCTGGCTCCACCACTCTCGAACTGTGCAAAACGACAGTGAATCTTCGGCAAGAACAAGGGAAGATACATCGCCTGATTTTTGTCTTTTGTGCATTTCCGGAGTAGTGGAGCGACGTCCATTCTCTATCTGATTCCGCCATTTGTGCATTTCCGGAGTAGTGGATATGTGGACTCAGTCTGGGGCTTGGCAATGCCCTTTTTGGTTGTGTTCGCAGTTTCCTGAATCGTTCTTGTCAGGCATTTGTCCTGACAACACGACAGACTTAAAATCTGTTCCTACGGGTTATCGGTTCAAGTCCTATAGTGAGCATACTCGCGTGGTGAAAATGGTAAACACGACAGACTAAAACACTTCGTCGGTTCGAGCGAGTCGGGACCATGGCGAATATAACATAATAGGTCACCAGGTAGCTCTGTGAAATAACAGAGGATCGTGGCCAGGGGATTTTTTCGTTTGTTTGGGAAGTTCTAGAATTTTCCGGTCCCTTGAAACCGGATTTGGTACCCTTGACTTGTTTTAGGGAAGTGTAACAAACCGGGACCTGGGATCGCAGGTTTTTTAACCCTGGAGGTCCTTTTCAGTAGTTTTTTGCTCCTGACGACAGACCGGACTATTCTGTTGACGACGGTTAAGTAGTAGGGCCCTCGAGTAGTTGTTCCTCTTCGCCTGAATGGCGCCGGCAGGACTAGGGAGAGATGCGTAGTCATATGACTGCGGGAGAACGGGCTGTACGCAGGCAACTGCGATAGTCGGGAGTGTCGGTGGTAGTCTTGTCCGTTTTCATCATTTCCTTTCATCTGCTGTTTTTCATGACGACCACTGTTAATCTCCACTGGTTAACGTGTGTCAACTATTCGAAATGGATGATTCATGATGACTCTATACAGCGTTGTTGGCTTTGTCCTTGTGCTGTTTACTGCTTGCTTTGCATGCGATAGCGTGCTTAAAGTTTGTTTGCGGTCACTTTCATCATCCTATTATCTAAGGTCATAACCATCTAGGCAATTGTACCTAGCGGTGGTGGCGGCTTATCTGAAGGCAGCGTGAGATAGCTTGGGGAGATTGAGGTCTGGAAGTTGACGAAGGAGCGTTTGACCAGTGGTATATAGAGGTGATTGGTGACAAAGTCAGAATGAGCGATGACACGGCACACCGAACTCGCAGCAGGGCACCCAAGCAGTGAAGCACCAGGCAACACTACCAAGACAACCACAATGCAAGGGACGAGAGGGCAAGCGAACAAGCAGCAGAGCGACCATGCTGAGGGGCACAAGGCAACCCCAACACGGCAACCAAACTACAGCCTGAGGGCGCGCAAGCAAAGAACCCGGAAGGCWCGACCAGCGGACGGGCGGCAAGGCAGCGAAGCAGCGAAGCACAAGGCAACACCACAACCCAGCCACACCACACAGCGACGACAGCAGCATGCCAAGAACAACCTGCGAGGCAAGTGGAACGGGCAGCAGGGCAGTGGTGGAGCGCAGAGCGGGGTCGTCCACACATCCAACACGGAGCAAAGCAGCACATCACCTACTCACATCACGGGTGAACCCCACAGACTGTTGGTTCCCACCACCCACTGAGCCAGGAAGACACTCCGACAAGCATCCGTCATCACCTACAGGCAACACAGACATCCCGAACCGAGCGCCCCCCTAAGAGTGCAGTTGGCACTCCAAAAGAGGAACCACCGACTGTTTGGCACTACCTAAGGGTGCTCAGTCGGGCACACAAAAAAACTTAGAAAAAATCAGAAAGAGGACAAACAACAGAAGAAAAAAATGACAGACATAAAACTGATTGTGTGTGTGTGTGCGTGTGTGCGTGTGCCGGGGGGAGGGGAGGGAGGACCCTTCCCCCACCAATCAATCAATCAATCAATCAATCAATCAATCAATCAATCAACCAATCAATCAATCAATCATTGACAATCAATCAAACAATCAATCAATCAATCAATCAATCAATCAATCAATCAAAAAAAAGTCGATCAATCATTTTTTTTTTT